TTTTTTTACGTCAGTAAACATTTCTATAATTTTCGTTTGTGAGGTTCATTAAAAGTTGGACACCGCCCGAGAAATCATTCAAAATACGCCACTGTATACAACACAACTAAGTTTTAAATTAAATAGTATAATCATAAATTAATTATATTCTGCAGTAAATATTTCACAAGAGTGCTTACCACATTTAAAATATTTAACTGTCACTTTAATACATTGTAAACTTTTTAGAATATTTAACTTGAAGTCAAAATTTTGTAAGATGGGCTTCGTGGATAAATTAATGATTCTAAGAGGAAATTAATATTTTTATAGGTTGAATCTATCTTAATTTATTTTATTATTTTTAGTGATCTGAACTTTTAAAATTGTTTTGTTAGTAAACTTTTTTTTTAAATATTTATAATTTGTTTTTTTTAAATATTTCATTATATCTTTGAAATAATAAATTACTAATTTTCATATATGAAAACTTTATAAAATTCGTTATTAGTAATTAATATTACACCTACACTTGATTACTGGTAATTTAAGAAATTAAACACCAAGTAATATAAAAATTTTAACAGTGGACAAATCAGTAGCAAGAAAGTTGTTACATAATAAGTTAAAATCCTTAACACTAAGAGAAATTTAAAAAACAAATATTAATTAATATTAATAAAATAAAAAACACATCAAGTCTTATAGAACTCGTATTTGTAACAAAAATTTTCATTTTTCATTTTCAAAATTTCCATTAATTCTTTAGATTTAAATCCGTGCCCAGGTCCAGATGGTATCTCAAATATTTTATTACGATCATGTATCTTCTCGTTATCTGTTCCCATATGTAGATTATTTAATCGTTCTTTAATTGTTGGCACTCTCCCCTCCCAATGGAAAACCAGTTTTATTACACCTATTTATAAGTCTGGTAACAAAAGTTTGATAGTAAATTACAGACCGATTGCAAAACAATCAACTTTGCCTAAATTGTTAGATAAATTAGTGACAAATGTATTAACATTTTCATTAAAAACCATTCTAGATAATAACCAGCATGGTTTTAGAAAAGGGCGATCAGTGGAAACTAATCTTCTCTGTTTTTATAATTTCTTGGTAAATTCTATGGAATCCGGAATTCAGACGGACGTTATTTACACAGATTTCAGCAAGGCTTTCGATTCGGTAAACCATTCAGTGCTGATCGAAAAATTAAAAACGTATGGAATAACTGATCAATTGTTAACGTGGTTTAGTTCTTACTTAGAGAATAGATTGCAACAGGTGAAAATTAATGGTTTTCTATCAAATAAAATACCAGTGCCTTCAGGTGTTCCTCAAGGGGGGCATTTATCACCACTGTTGTTTGCATTATTTATTCTGGACATAGGTGCATGCTTTAAATACTGTAAGTACCAACTATTTGCTGATGATCTCAAAATTTATGCAAATGTTATAACAATTATTGATCAATATAAAATTCAAGAAGATCTGAACAGATTTTGTGATTGGTGCCACTCAAATGGGTTAAAACTGAATATCACAAAATGTTTCAAAATGTCTTTTTCCCGTTCAAGAACGAAATTAATTTATGACTATCATCTCTTTGATAATCAAATTGAGGATATTAGTACCATTAATGATCTTGGGGTAGTTTTTAAAACCAACTTATCATTTCAGCCACACATTGAACATATCTGTGTGAAGTCCCTAAGAACTCTAGGGTTCTTAATTAGGAATACCAAAGAATTCAAGAATGAACAGTGTCTAAAAACATTGTATACTTCTTTAGTTAGACCTACGTTAGAATATTGCTCAGTTATTTGGAATCCTTCACAAGTCGGATTGATAGAATCGCTTGAGCGTGTACAAAGAAGATTTTTACGTTTAATCGCATATAAGAGACGTATGATTTCTATTAATAACCCTTCCGAGTCAATATCACTTAATTCTGTACAGGCTTCCCTTAACTTAGATTCCCTTGTTAATAGGCGAAAATATACAGACGTCTGCTTTCTTTCTAAATTAGTAAATGGTGCTATAATCTGTCCAGAACTATTACAATCCATANGCAATTGCCTTTTAATAACTGGTTCTTATCTTAATTTGTGCTAGTGGTGTTTGCCATACATCGATTATCGCGGCTATTACTTGAATATCAACAAGCTGGACAGTTATTATTAAATATTTAATATTTCTCGAGAAGATATTTAGCATTTACAGGTATAAATTAACAAAAAACCTGTTGCCAATTATTTGATTACCCTGACCTGTTCATGTGTCTTTAATTTATGGCTTACAGAATGATGTTCTTGGTGATGACTAATCATAATAACACGTTGTGACGTCATTGATAATCCTTGATTTTATCATTGAACATTAGTCATGCAATCATCATTGGTGTTATCACATAAAAATTATGAGCCTTTACAGTCGTAAAATTATCTAATAATTGTAAAGCTAAATTAGAGCAATTCAGTGAATCGCCATAACATATTGTTATTTATTTAACTTTAATTTCTATATTTTTGTGAAAGTTTAAATCATGTCACAAACTGTATTCCCAAATTTAGTAAGTTTTTAACTTTTTACTTATAACATATATGTTTATAAATATATGAAAATTTGTATATTTAGGGTGTTCCATTTGTTGGACCTATAAAAAATAATTTGCAACAAGGCACAGTTATTTCAATTTCTGGTACTTCATTTCAATCAGCAAACAGGTATATGTTAATAATTTTCAAAAAATAAGTTTACCATTTGTAGACATTAACAATTTTTGAAAATAATTTAATACAAAATTTTCATTAAATAAGGGTTTGTGTAAATCTGCAAGTTGGTCCCAATATAGCTCCTAGAGATCCAGTTGCTCTCCATGTTGCATTAGATTTTACGCGTAATGCAATTATTAGAAATAGCATACAAAGTTCAAATTGGGGCAATGAAGAGAGTTTTGGTTCTCCTATTTCACTTATTCGTGGTCAATATTTCACCTTGGATATATTATGTGATGCATATGACTATAAAGTAAATTCTAATAAGTATTTATAAAATAAGTTTTGCTATATTTATTAATTTGTTTAATAAAGTATTGCAGAATGTTGTGAGATACTGCTGAATTTTTCAATCATATATATATTTTATAATATTGTTATTGTTATTTAAAGTCATATTATTTCTCTATGCTCTATAAGCTTTAATTTATATTCTATATATAAGTAGTAACTATTAACATTAGATGTTCAGTGTTATCTTATAATGCACGTCATAATCACATATTTTAGAAAAAAAAAAATTTACTAAGCTTTACTAGTTAAGTAGTAATTACCTCTAAAACAAATTTAGATTTGTTAATTTAACTATATTATGTAAAAATTTCAGTTAAATAATATAACAAAAAAAAACCCAGCACAGGGGGGTCGCGACACAGTAGTGACGTGGCATAGTTAGATCAAGTATAATGATATCTGATAGTGATTAAAATCACTATCAAAATAAAACGCTTCGATGCAAATCTTTAGATAGTGTTTAATTTTAAAAAAATTGGTGTATTATTCCAAAAGCTACATGATCTGCTAGTTCCTTATTAATATCCTGATTAAGATAAAGTATGTCGAATGAAAAAGTGATTATTAAAAAATATTATTTCTCATAAAAAAATTGTGTTGATCCATAATCTTTTCAATAAGTAATAGCATTATAAAGTTAAAAATGTAAAAAACAAAATCGAGAATTTTCACACAAAAATAGCATTCGGTAGCCATTTTCACCATGAAGATAAGATAAAGTCCGAAATTTTTTTTTTTCATGATAAAGCATATTACATTAGCTTTAATTTAAGATATATATAAAAGTGTCAGACCTTCCGGAACATTTTCAAAATTTAAGTTAAAAAAGTTTCATTTTAAATCCCCCCCTGTGGGCAGGTTAAGTGTCAGATTTACAAAAAGTATATACCAAATGATAGATAAAGGTATCATGCATCTATATAAAAAACAATTATATTGATTTGGTTATTTTAAAAAAAGTTATGGCACTTTAAAGTAAAAAAAATTGAAAAAATTTCAAAAATTAGCGATTTTTAAATTTGTAAATTTTTTGGAGGTTTCCTCCATTTACGGAGAACGAGGGAATTTTTTTCAATTTTTGAGGGTAATATCTTCGATTAGATACGATTTGTGATCTTTTGCCGTATCGTTGAAAGAAATCCGTTCGGTGAGAGCTGAGAAAAAGTGGTAACAGATACAAAAATAAAAATTAAAAAAAAAACACATCATAGTAAAACCAATACCTTCTCAGCTTCGCATCGAAGCTAATAATGAACAATATTCTTTTATCTACAATATTTAGGTGAATTCTATGTTAAATGTTGAAGCTGATTCCACATTATGTATGTAGAATCACATTATATATCCAGTTTTTCAGATAATTATTTATTAGAAATAAATCATTAATTACATAATATAATCATTATAAAAAATTTAAAAATAATTTGAATTTTTTGAAACTATTTAATTTCTAACTGTTTTTAAAGATTTTTTTATTTAATAGAGTTTGATGGGTAATTTAAAAAAAAAGCTGAACTTTCCTCCATTTTAACTATTTTTGGGTTAATCTAATAATTATAAAATATAATTAAAAAATATAACTATTTGTTTTCTTACATGAAAATAACTGAGAAAGCGCAATTATAAAAACAATATATATGCCGCAAGCTCAAAAATGTTAAAACACTATAATTTCATTTTTTATAAGTTTTTTAGTACAAATTATTTATTAATTTATTTGGTATTGTGTATTTTTAACACTGATGAAAATGGTCTAGTTTTGGTGCAGGACAATTATTTTATATATATTTTTTTATTTTTACTTTCTTACTTAGTGTTCAATCATACTTTGCAAATATTTATGACTTTTTTTTTTACAATTAGTTAAATATCTAAATTATGGAGTATCATATGCAAAATTTTTTTATTTATAATTATAATATTTTAGATAGCTTATAATGGTACTCATTATACTGAAATGAAACATAGAATGCCATTCCAGAGTGTATCATATTTAGCCATTGATGGAGATTTTCAAATGCAAAATTTGAGAATACAAACAGGGGGTAATGGATCTGCCATGCCAACTCCAGGTTTTATGCCAATGCCAGGACAACCAGGAAATGTACCGACAACTGGTCATATGTCTATGCCTGGACCACCACTAGGATGTATTCCAAATTCACCAAATTATAGTGCTTACCCTGGACAAACTCATTATTCCCCTTATTTACAAGTAACTGTGGCTTACTGTTGTTTATAATAATATTATTGTAAATGTAAAATTATAATCGTTAAAAAAATAATTTATTTTTATGTTAGAAGAATACTGGATCTCCCATTAAAGATGCAATGAATACTGGACTAACAAATTATGCTTTAACTGGTCATTTAAGTCCGGTAAATTTTTAGTTATTGAAAAATTATTTAAATATCTTGTGCAATTGTTAAATTTTTTTTTAAGAAAAAAGCAGCCAAGGCCCATAGAAAGCAATTAAAAAAAGCTGCAAAATATGGTGTTCCAATAGCAGCAACTGGAGCTGGTGTGGGAGTTGGCATGGGAGCTTATGCTTTACATAAAGCACACAAAAAACATAAACACAAAGGCTATAAACACCATAAATCTTCATCGAGTAGCAGTAGTAGCAGTAGTGATTAAATTAAACATAAACTGTTTATACCATAATTTTGGTTAAAAAAAAATAATTAATTTTATTAATTTTGTTTTTGTATTAACCCATAATATTATATCTATTGTTGCTTTATTGATATATATATATTTTTTTTATTTGTATAAAATAAGTTCAATAAAATTGTTTTAATAAAAATTAAATTATCAATATTTAATTAATAATAAGTATCTTAAAGCTTTTGTAATTATTTGTATTTTTAGTTAACCAAATAATTAGTTAGTCTCATGCAACGTTTTTTAAATTTAAAAAAAGTGTAGCTGTTCTATTGAAAAATATATTTTTTTTATATTTTTGTTTTTATTAAAAAAAATACTAAAATATGACTAATTCTAGTAAACTAATACTTAGTAGTAAGAAAGGACAGGAGATAAGATAATCTTCCAATGAATAAACAAAAAAATTTTATATAATATTTTTTTGGCTAAAATTGTACCTAGATAAAAAATTAGTTTTAATTATGATCAATTTTAATAATGTATAATACCTTCACACTGCTATGTATTTTTTTATTTTCACTAAATATCTTTTACTTTATTGTACCTTGTAATTACTCAAATAATTTTTTTTTTAATTCTAAAATTTCAATAATAACCACTAAGAAATATTTGAATTCTGTATTTTATTAGAATAGAAAAATTAGATTACTAGAAACCTATCCATAACAAATATGTTTTTAGTGTTGTGAACTGGCTTTTTGCTGCCTAATTTTAATTGTGTAATTTAATATATTAATCATGGGAACAGTAGCCCATTTGTCTTGTGTATTAATTAAGCAAGCATCTAGTCCTTCTAGAACATTCAATGCTTGCTCAGCTCTTTTCAAAAGGTATTAAAAATTATCTCGTTAAAGTCGCCAAATCAATTATAAATATAAATATATATTTAAATATAATAAATAGCAACTAATATTCAAACGCATTATCTCTACATTTTGTCTACCGTACCAACCCGGTCACAACATCAGTTTTTATTAGTAATTTCTTGTATAATTACAAAATCATTTAAATTATTTTAATCATTTAACTTTAATACCATAAACTTTTAACATATAATAATAACAATAAAATTTAATTATCCTAAGTCAACACCACTTATATGTTACCCATCAGAACTCAACATTTGATTTTTATTGATTTTCCTAAATAAACCATCTTCGAGAGCCATTAAATTGTCATAAGTATCTAGTTCTGTAATTTTTCCATTGTGTAAAACAGCCAATTTATCTAAAACAATTCAATGAGCTAAAATATGTGTTTTATTTACTAATTATTGTTATAAATTGTTTTTAATAAAAACCTCAATAAAATCAAATGCATCTACATTTTTTTTAACTTAAACAAATCTATACATATATACAGGGCGATTTTTTTATCATAACCCACTCAATTACAGAGTAATAATAATTTAAACATTTTTTTTTTTTATTATCTTTAGTTACACATTATTCTTGAATTATTAATTATTTAATACTTTTTAAGTTCATCCCTTATGCTTGGTAAGGGTGTCAACTTTGTTTTTTTAAATGAGAACACATATTTTGAATTTAATAAAATGTTTGGATTTTTAATTCAATAGTAAATGGCATTTGAATTTTTAGTATAACTTTATTTGTTTATTAGATATAAACATTTGAAGTTTCAAATTTATATAAAATAACGACAATGTTTTTATGACATCGATATTAGAAGGTACACAGCATTGTTATTATCAATATTAGTAAGGCACATTGTTGTGATTTTAGAAATACACTAACTGACAATACAGAAAGTATATCTATTGAGCGTCATAATTGATAATAAACAATCCGTGACTGCGACATTGATATCATATAAACCATTTAGCTACCTGTATTTGTAATCATATCATCATGTGTATTATACATGTATATTAACTCAAAAATTAAAAACTTTAAATGTTTTATTTGTTTAACAATTTTTTTTTTCAGTTGTTTTTCTTCTTTTTGATTTTTATTTGAGTAAAAATAAAAGGGAAAGATCATATCTGCGTCCTTGGTTTTGTTTTTTATTTTGCGTAAAACTTGTTATATTCAATAATTTAAAAAAATTTATAATTTGCCAATTTAGCAATTTTTGAGTTATTTGTTTCCATTAATTTTTTCAAACAATTTTGAAAAATACATGTAAAAACACATGTTAAAAAATATATATCTTGAAAATATAGAGTGCTCAGTAAACTAGATTTGTTTCAAAATAAATAAACTAAACTAAATATAAAATTAATAAACATAAAAAATTATTTACCTGCATTTTTTATTGTAGATAACCTATGTGCAATTGTTAACACTGTTCTACCTTTTGAAACCCTTTGTAGAGCTTCTTGAATTAATTTTTCACTTTCAGAATCTAATGCACTGAAATATTTTATAGTAAAAGTGATTTATGTAAGTAAAAACAATAAAATATTTATTATACTTAGAATATTTTCTAATTAAAAATTCACCTTGTAGCTTCATCTAACAATACAATTTTTGGATTTTTCAATAATGCTCTCGAAATTGCAATTCTTTGTTTTTGACCACCTGATAAAAGAATTCCACGCTCTCCTACTACTGTGTCAAATCCATCAGGGAACTTATTAACAATAAAGTTAAAAGCATTAGCTTCTTTAGCTGCATCTATAATTTCATTTTCTGTAGCATTATCGTTCCCATACATAATATTTTCACGAATTGTTCCAGAAAACAATACTGGTTCCTGTAATTAGTAAGAAACTTTTAATTGAAACTACTAAGAACAAAATCTAAAACTAAATAAATATTTATTAACTTGGCTAACAACTCCAATATGACTATGTAGCCATACAGAATCAAGAAATTTGATATCCATTTGGTCTATACAAACTTCACCTATTAGAGGATCATAAAGGCGAAGTAATAAATGACCTAATGTACTTTTTCCTGTACCACTATGGCCCACTAATGCATATGATTTTCCTTGTGGAATATGTAGAGACAATCCATTAAAGATTGATATGTCTGGTCTGTTTGGATAACTAAAAGCAATATTTTGGAAATTTATGTCTCCTTTTAGTTCTTTTTTTGGAATAATTCCACCTGTAAAGTGATAAACATTTAACTTAATGTTAGTTAAAAAAACAATAGGAAGTAACTTACCATAAATGGGTATTAATGGTTTACGATCAATGATTTCCCATATTCTAGAAGAGGCCCCTAATCCTTTATTGATGTCAGAGTAAAATGATGAAAGACCTCCAATAGATACTCCTGTATAGGCTGCATACATTAAGAAAGATGTAAGCTCACCAACAGTAATAGCTTGTTCACTAACCATTAATCCACCACTGTACAGTACAGCTATAATTACAAAATTACCAGCAAATCCTGTCTATATATACATTTAAATTGATAACTCATAAGATTATCTATAAATAATGTCTATAATTAAATCATTAAATTTTTACCATAGCGAAAAATAACCCTCTCATTAAAGATTCCTTAACAGATAAGCCTAAAACTTCATTCATTTTTTCTTCATAGCGGAACATTTCTTTTTTCTCCTGACTAAATACTTTAACAGTTCTTATGTTTGATATTTTTTCTTCTGCTACTTGATTTGAAGCAGCTAATGAATCCTAAGGTAAGATTAAAAACTAGTCTAACATTTATTGTTTTTATTTATTATGTTCAGTATTTATTGATAAAGTTACCTGAACAGATCTTGTAATTTTTCGAACAAATCTTCCATAAATTATAGCTGCACCAGCCACTGGTGGTATAATGGATAGTCCAATTAAAGCTAATTTTGAAGAAACAGCAAACTAAAAGTAAATATCAGTTTTAAAAAAAAGGTTTATTTTATTAAAAATGTGTATAATTTTAACCATAAAAGAAACTCCACAAACAACCATAATTGTAGAACGTAAACCATCAGAAATGTTATTTGTAACAGTTTGACTAACTATTAAACAATCTGATGACAATCGATTAATTAATTCTCCAGTTTTATGGCGGTCAAAATATGCTGTTTCTTGAGAAATCAGAGATTTGAATAATAACTCTCTAAGTCTTTTGGTTATTCTATATCCTATTAATGAATAAAAAATTATTCTATAAAATAAAATATATGTTTACAAGTAACAATTTCTAATTACTATAAGAATCATATTTATAAAAAATAAATTTCAGAGCTAATAACAATTTACCACTCTCACCTTAAAAAAAAAAAAAAATTTATTTTGTGAAAGTACATTATTGTTCTTTATTTTTATTTGTTATATGTGAGTAAAATTAAAGTTAAAAATGATTAAGTCAGAAAAAATAAATTTCTTAAAAATTTTCACATTCTTGATTATTTGTTGTCTGAGAATAAAGATTCTAATACAATTTTGTTCCTATAAAAACATTAAAAAAATAGTTATCATTTAAACCCTAAATTAGGTTATTATTGTATAACAAGTTAACCAAAATTAAAAATTAATAGTTAGAAACTTTTCATTCTTAGGCGACATATTATAAAATTTTGATGTTTCTGAAATAATTCTGCCAAAAATCATTGCCTCAATGAACCACCACTTAAATATGAGCCTGATAACTTTCAAATTATTTTATAAAAACTAAAAAAATCTTAACTAACAACAAATTTTTATAATAACTTAATTTATTCTAATTTGATACTTTTGCATTACATATAAGTGTTATATCAATAAAAAAAAACAATTACCAGATGTACTCATAAAGTAAATTCTGCCAAAATTACATGCAGCTCCAATTAAAAATACTGGAAGAAGAATAGTACAAACTTTTATAAGCTTTGACTGAGTTTCAGAGGCATCAGATTTATAAATTATATCAACAATACGTCCAAAAGAAAATGGAATCGCCATTGTTACAGTACTAGATACTAATAATAAGCATACTGCATCTAAATAAAAAAGATGAGAAATTAGTAAAAATACAGTTTAATTATTAGACATACAATTACAGATAAGCCTTGTTTTTTCAGGTTTAGCTAATGAATAAAGTCTAATTATTTTTGATGCTGAAAGTACTTGTTTTGATACTTTGTTGGAATTTTTTGTATTAACCCATCGTACTGGAAAAGTTTTTAATGGTGGTTTAAAACGACAATTTCCAGATATTCCAATCACATAGTTTAAATTTCGATACAATAAGGGCACTTTAAGTTTAGCTGATAAACTATACCGTAATAAAGAAAAATTCATTGTGACTTCTCAAAAAAACATCACAAATTAAATTAAATTTAAAAATTTACAAACTTTTTCAATTTAGAAAAATTTAACTGTAAAAATTAGACCATAATTTAGTAACAACAAATAAACTAAATAGATTATAGTTGCTTAGCATAATGAAAAAAACCTAATTGCTTATTATAAGCAATTATAATAATGATTTAAACGAATGCATTCTTATTATTGCAGATTAAATGTTTTCACTTTTATTATTAATTTTGTAATTAATATACAAAAATGATGATAAAACTGAAATTTAAAAATTGATAATAATTTTACCAGGGCAAGATACTAAAACCATAGTTCTTTTATGGTTATATTGTGTTATGCTATAGTATTCTTTCGTTAAATAGTACAATATCAATGTACTAGAGAGTGTTATATGTTAACTATTTCCAATAACTAATAATTGGTTGTGGTGACGACATGACATAGTTACCAGTAAAAAAACTAAATTTATCACGAAAAGGTAAAGCTTGTAAAGGTAAGGTGTAACCGTGTAGATTTAGTACAAACGTATTTTTGTTTTCAACGTCATTCATATTATACAAAGAAATTTGATTAAATTTTTTCAACAGATTATTTTGACGGATTTTTATTTACTACATTTTACACCAAAGCACGAAAATTTTATTTGTTTTTGTCTTGTTCTGAATTTGGGGGTATTTAAGTTTCGAAGAAACTTAAATACCCCCAAATTTTTTAAGAAAAAAAAATTTTCATGATCATCTCGAAATAATATACTCAATATTCTTTTTATTTATAAATATTATACATAAATAATATTATAAACATATCAATCCTGTTTGAAGCTTTAGGTTTTGGGAAAACTCGAGTAAAGCAGATTGGTTCAGTTTAAGAGCAGCAATGAACTGGACGAATTGTTGCCGAATCTCTTTTAATAAGTAATGATATTGTATAATTATTTAAAACTTTTAATTCTGCTGTTAATTTTATATGAATTAAAATAAATTAAAGCAACTTTAATTGAACTAATTGTAATTAATCGATAAAACAAAAATCATTGAATATATAAATCAACATTTAATGAAGTCCAATGTTTTCTTTAACAATTTTCAAAGCAAAATTTACATAAAATTGACAAAGCCGAATAAGTATAACACTTTTAGTACTGTATGACCGACATGTACGTTGAGTTTAGACGCATAAACCGCTGTGCTCATTTCTGAATTTAAGTGATCTAAATTCTTACTATCATGTTTATCTATTTCATTTTCATCATCAGCTTTTTGAAAATGGTCATCTAATTTCAGAAACACCTTAACATCTCCAACGTCACCAGTCTTTAAGTAAAACCACAATGGCTTTCCACCATTGCCCAAGTCAAAAACATCAACATTTGACCAAGTCCACTCAGATCCTCCCAACCATGACATTAAGTCAACTTCGACTGGTGAACGATTTATTTTGATAGACTGTAACAATGATAGTCGACTAGCAAGTCCTTCTGTGCATATTTTTGTCCATTCCATTTGGACGTTGAACCGAGTTGACGGGCCGATGTTTTTTACCTATAGCACAAAAATCACTGACGACATCAATACGGTATTATTATTGTTATTAAAAATATTATACATATAACAATATCACGTTGTACAGATATTTATTCATCATTTCTATTCTGATATTGCTTCACTTTGTCGTCAACGTTTTTTATAAGGGTGAGGAGAAATAATAATCACTTTTATTGTATTTACAATACTATAGGCTATATTATTATATTTTTCTATTACTGTCAAAACAGGTGCAATACAAATAATATTGAAAAATATTGAGAAAAAAATGTTGCTTTTAATAATATTTTACTGCCATACAAATTAATCAGTGAGATGCTTGTTCTCATAATATTTTTATAAGTGTTTAAATTACAATATTAACAATAAAACTTATTTAATTTATTACACTTCACTTTAATTTCCTATTTCATAGGAATTATTAGTTCAGTTTTGCTTTTTGAAGTTACTAAAAAATTTTCGTTCTAGCTGTCTATTATATACTGCAAATGTATCTATAATTTTTTAATTATTTTAACCATCTCTCAACTTGTTTCACTTAACATTCTAAATTGAACCGTTAATTTTACTAATATAACTTTAAGAATTTTTCAGTAAATAACAAAATAATACTGTTTTTTTTTTAACCTGAAAAGTTATTTTTCCGTCATGTTGATTTTTTGTAGAACGTGTTTCAAAAATAAGATTATCAGGTATTATTGTACATGACGGTTTTACACCAATTCCGCTTAACTTTACAGTCACACGCGTCAACGATGAAATGATTTCAATTTTCTCATTGACCTACGCATTTAGAAAAGTAATTTTTATTTAATTTTTTTAAATAACTTTATTTACTGCAAATTCGTGTTCTGGATTGAAGGAAATATTAATTGGAATTGTTTGATTAGACTGTATTGAATTATTACTATTCAAAGCCTGAAATAATATAGACAGAATATATATTACAATCTTTCAAATTAATACTTAAATAATTAAAATAGTTTATTAAAGTATCGGGAAAATTGAAAAAGTTAAGTAGTATTGACAATATGTATTCTTTTAAAATCAGTGTTTTTGGAAAATAATTAAATAAAAATAAGGAAACTGTAAAGTCTTGCTAATATAAAAGAAAATTATCTTATAAAAAATCATTGAAATTAATGAAAATTTCAAATTTTTATTTGCATTTTTCTGTTAAAATATATATCAAAATATTAATATTAATATAAGATATTTTAATTTATTTAGAAATTAATTTTTTTAAACTGAACATTTTAAATGAAAATTATTATTTAAGAAGTTAATCTTAAAATATTAAATTATTTGATTTATTAAATATTTATATTATGGTTTATAATATATACCACTATATAAAAATTAAATATCTTTTCCCAATTTTTATTCAACCTTTGATATAATAATTCATATAATTTTTTTACTAAATCGCAAAAAAATGGTCCAGTCGGATTTGGTATTGATATTCTAAATGGTACATTATGATCAGTAACATTGTGAATTAATATCCATTCATTATGGCGCACTCCTATCACACATTGCTCAAAATCAATATTGTTGTTAAAAACAATAAAATTTGGTTTCGATATAGGACAAATAAGACTCAATTTCAACGATCCTTTTTCAAATCTAATAATTTAAAACATATAATTTTAAGTATAGTACTTATTCGTATTCAAAATTTTTAATATTTTAAATAATACTTTAACTTTTGTTTTTTAAATAGATACATATATATTTAAGCAGCCAACAAATTAGATAATAATCTAACTAAAAAATTGACCGGTCGTTAACAACTTTTGTATCAGTATTTTAGAAGTTATTAATACTTTGCTTAGTAAAAGTAAAGAGTGAGACTGTTTATTTTTATTATCTCTTGGAATTCACGAATCGTACTGCTCTTCCCGTCCTTATTTAAAAATGTTAACATCTTAGTGCTACTTCAAAAGTTATTATGAACTAGTTAAGCTAATGGCTATAATATGAATTAACAATTATTTTTGTATCTAAATCTACAACCGGGAGAGGGTCTCCTATACATAAATTTTAATAGTATTACTTCATTGTTTCATTTGAAATGATAGAACAAAAAATATTCATAACAATCAAACTTACCCAAAATATTCAGCTACTTTGTGACCGCATAGTTGTACAAAACACACAACAGGAATGATTCGAATGTTATTTGGCAACCAAGCAAAGAACATTTTGTTTGCTATAAATTTAGTAACACAATTTAGGAAGTTTTTATTACTTTTTATCGCCATCTATAAATAATAATAAATTAATTGATTAAAAATACGTGAGACATAAACAATTTTTTATTAAAGGAGTAACTCTATTTATAACTGAGTATTCATCCTGAAAAAAGTAATCAATATCTTGTTTTGTGATTTTTGAGTAAAACTGTTCATAATAAATTTGTTGAAGCTCTTCGTAAAGGTTTGGTTGATAAATTACAATTATTGGGAAAACCTATTGATGTGTAAAGCAATTAAATTCTAAGTACCTAAAATATTATTAGTAAAATTTACTTCTTTACATCGCAAAGTACCATTTTTTGGTTTAAACTCTATATATGGATCATCACAGACCAGTTCGAATCTTATAATAAATTCAGGTATAATATCTTGACCATGATTTACTGTAGTAATTAAGTCCAATGCTCTTAAAAAGAATTTTAAAATGTTTTAAGTATTTTATTTTCAAGCATCATTCAAGCTTTTTATTTTACTTTAATTCAAATTTGCACGTGGAAAAAGATGTGATAGGGGTACAAGTCATAATGATTTTTTGAGACGAAAGTTCTATTGGTAAGTGATTTACAAAAGCACGACATTTTACAACAGCTTTGTAGAATATAGCGTTTTTAAGATTATATATTTTAACAGCCCCTTTTTTAATTTTATCTGGTATTTTTATGCTATTAGGCCCGTGACCCAATTCTTTAATGCAGTTTTTTAATCCTGAGTTATCATCATAGGAAAGTATATTGCTTTTCGTTATTAAATCAAACATTTGTGTTTCGACCTGATTATTGAGTAATCAACTAATTTTAACAAAACATTATTTTTAACTTTATAGGATTTTTACTTCTTTAGAATGATATTCTTTTGCGCTTATTCCAATTTCAGTGGTACACATTAAATCGAATTCGTCAACATAACTGTAAACAATATGATCTGATACATTTTTAGTCTTGGGACTGTAGTATAAATGAAAATAAAGCATTTCGCCAGAAAAAATAGTTCCAAATGCACTTGGTAGAACACAAATTTTCTATCACCACAATTAATAATCAAAATTATTGTTAATTGTTTCTTAGTAATTAAAAATAAAAACGGTAGCACAGTTGGGTCACAGTGTGAGCGTGACATAGTCGGGACTAGTATAGAGTATATCTGACAGTGATTAAAATCACTATCATAAGAAACACTTCGATGCAAATATGTATATAGTGTTTAATTTTATGAAACTGGTGGATAATACAAAAGCAAAATTCTAACTCAAAAATAATTGCCACAGGCAATGATGTTTACTGAATAGGCAAAATTTGTTGCATTCGTTTTTTCAATAAAATGGGCAATCGGCAAAAAAAAAAGTTAATTCAAATGTTTAAATTAATTTTTTCGACTCAAAAAAAAAAAAAAAAAAATTGAAGTATGTTTAACTTTATATTCTATGTCAATTAGTTTTATATAATATTCATGAAAATCAGTGTACCCCATTATAAGATATATTAAAATAAATTCAAANCAGTGTACCCCATTATAAGATATATTAAAATAAATTCAAATACAATATTAAGAATTAGAATACAAAAATAGCACATTTTTTAATATGATAACCATATTCACTATATCTTGAATTTTTTTTTTTTCATAGTGTAGTGTATTACATAAGCTTTAATTTAAAATTAAATAAAAGTGTCAATTTTCCGAAAAAAATTCAAAAATTGAGTTGAAAAAGTTTAACTTGTGTGTAAAAATTATTATTTTGAATCCCCCTTGTGGTCAGGTCAAAAGTCAGATTTTCAAAAAATGTATATCAAATGAAAGAAGTATACATAATATATTTATGAAAAAATAATTGTATTGATCCATACATTTTTCAAATAGTTATAGTTATTTAAAGTTAAAAATATAAAATATGAAATCGTAAATTTTAACATCAAAATTGGATGTTTTTTATCTACGGGAACCATTTTTAGATAGAAGATAAGTCGTCGGGACAAATTTTTTTTTTTGAACTTATAGTACATAACATTAAGATTATTTTAGCATATGTTTGAAGCTCGGAGTATTTCCGGAACTTTTCAAAATTTAAGTTAAACAAATAAATTTTTTGTGCAGAAGTTGCTATTTTAAATCCCCCCTTGTGGGCAAATAAAGAGTCAGATTTACAAAAAATGTATATCAAATGAAAGAAAAATATCTATGGTTTCAATATAAAAAAGAATTATTTTAATTTGTTGATTTTTCAATAAGTTATGGCAATTTTTAGAAAAAAAGTTTTAAAAAATTGTAATTTTTTAGGGGATTTTCAGTATTTACGGGGAAAAGGGAAAAAAGTTTTCAACTTTTGAGAGTAGTGTCTTCAATTAGATACGATTTGTGATTTTTTGACATATTGTTAAGAAACATCGGTCTTGTGAGAGCTGAGAAAAAGTAGTGACAGACATAAAAAAAATATAAAAAGTTTATAGTATATTATAAGTAATCGAAGCTAAACGTAAAACTAATTAGTACAAATAAAATAAAAGTGTAACAATTTGTTGCAACAAGTTGGTGTTGGTAGTACCAAATCCAAAATTAATAAAATATTTAAGGATTATAAAAAATCAGTTAGTAGTTTTAAATAGTTCCTTTATTTTAGTTTTATCTTATTGATTCGTTGGTTGCGTCGTTATAACCCAACTTACATTCATTTCAAATCGTGTTTGTTAAGTATTATCAATAATTTATTAATAATCTTTAATTAAATTACCTCAGGTAAATTTATAAATCCATATTTAAGGGTGTTTTGTGAATGGTTCGACAAAATAACTACACGAACAACTGTTTCTGATGTACTGACTGTACCAAAGTTCAAGAAATCTGGAGATAGTTTTAAACCAAATGAAGTACTAACTACAGTAGAAACATGTACTTCACAAACGTGTTTTGATCGTTGCGCCAAATAAATTCGAATAGGAAAATCCAAAAAACCACTCTGAACATCAAAATACTTTTCAATTTTCAAAGAATGAATAATATCGTACCTAAATAAGTTTGTTTTTATCATTTCTACGTTAAGTATTTTATGATTTATTCTTAAAAATCATATAAAATACTTTAGATTTAATTGCACATGAACTTCAAGAGACGATTCAGCTTTGAGATAACCTTTAAGAGGGTTTAGTTCCAAGTATTTTTCCAGTTGTTGAGGCACTTCTAATTTATATTGTACCACTATTCTTCCTGTGTTGTGCAATTTGAAACTACCCCGTGGACAATAACTTTCTAAGTAACTTATGCCTAAATTTAGCATACTAGGTTCAACTGATAAATTTTGCTCTTTGACTTGTCCTATCACAGTTAAACTCTACTAACAAAGTTTTTTAATTTTAAATTTATATAAATTTTATTTAGAAATCAGGTATTTACATCATTTGGTATTTCAAAAGAACTTTGATCAAATATGACAAGATATTTTTCTAAGACAGGAATTTCAGTAATATAATGGTTAAAAATCACCGGAATTTCTATTAATCCTTTTGCTGGTAGCAAAACATCAGTATTTTTTTTCCATACAAAATGACTGAACATATTCGAAATTATTACATCAATCATAGTAACTAAGATTTGTTCAATATTTTTGGTTAACGCCGTTGTTTTCATATCACAATTGGTGTTGTGCTTGTCTTTTACGTGTAAAATATTTTACTCAATATAAAATGAATAAATATAAGTATATATTAATTATCATTAAAATGTTTTTATTGGACATAAAGTCACATGCAATTCAGTCATGGCTTGACAATACGAATTTATCGTGTTGTCTCATCACGAGTATTATTCCTATTAATTACAATTTATAGAAATAATACATGAAATACAGACGTTTAATTGTTGAATATTGCTACTTATGATTTATTTTTTTAATTACCTAAACAACAATATTTTATACTTATATTTTCATTTCTTTCCCTTTTTTTTGTTATTCTATATTTTTATTTTGTTTTCCTCGTTAAATAATGGGCGATGAGATTAATGTATAAATTACGTATGCGATTATTTTAAAATAATCAAAAAGTTGTAATTGATAAATATAAGAAGCTATTTTTTTTTTTTTTTTTTATTTTTTGATTGACAAAAATACTATAGAATTATTTTTATAAATATTGCAGCTACAAATAAGTTATTGAACTCACATGGGCGATACAGTAATTTCCTATGTGATGGGTAAGTTGATCGAATGATACAATAAATTAAACCTTGGCGCCTTTTGACTAATGTCAAAAGCCTTAAACATTTCTTTATTATTTATGTGAAAAACATACCAATAGTGACAATACAAGTGACTTACCAATAAAACATTTTTTATATTTGGACTCGCTTAGAACGCTAAATTTGCAATCTACTGAACCATTGTTTTTTATGACGAATTTTTTTTTATAGGTGAAATATTCGGGTTTAATGTTTTTAGCTGGAAATCTAAAATAAATATAATTACCAAATGTCCATTGGTAACTCAATACACACATCGATCTTACGTTATAATTTTGGTGACCACTTCCGGTTTCGGTCTAGCGGTGCAAAACTTCAACGGAACATAAAACACGTACTTTACATCCAATTGGTTATTTTTTACGGTTTCAAACGCCAATTTTAAGCCTTCTAACCTCGAACAGTTAATAGAGTTTGGTAATTCCACTGGATTGAACCGTACCTCGTAATCAACTGTTACGCCTGGCCGTAGCCGATGTATAATATTAGTCTCCACCTGACGGTATAAAAACACATTAATTTTAGTATAATTTGTGCTGAATCGGTCAGTAGGCTCAAATTAACCATAATTATGTTTTTGTAATTTTTCAAAATGTCATGTGGATCAAACAAGTGACTATACCGACACAGTATAATCGCCTTACTGGGATTACTTATTTTTAACCTTTCTTCGAATGAAGTACCGTTTACACCATTCGCCACCTAGTTTCGCATGTATAAATATCATAGTATCAATAGATAGTTGAAGAAAGAAGACGAAATACTTTTTATGAACTTCTTTGCTTGCAAATTTACCTGGAATTCTAGACAATGTGGGGTGTATTTTAATTGCGTTTCCGTATTCCTTATGATAACTTTATCGTTTGGTTTATTGTTTACATAGTAAACACTTTCTGGCTCTTTGAAATGCTGCACTATGCAATCATTATTGCTCATCTATAGTAATAAAGATTCAGATAAAAAAAACTATTTTTAAACTCATATTTTCACCATATGCACTTTAAAATTCCCGGTGTTTTCTAAATTCTTTTCGGAAGCCTTTATATTTTTCACGTAAGTCATCTGTGCATTATACATTTTCTGTTTGTCATTCGATACCGACAAGATCGGTTCACTTTCTTCTTTTGCTATGTTCTTTGTTTTAGTTGAATCTTTGATGTTTTTTAACGTAATTGTTTCCAAAAATAATTCTTCTTCTAATTTCTTTAAAGTTGATTCAAGTTCAGAGATTTTTTTGTCAAACAATTTATCGTCCAATTTCTCCATACTTATTGATAACACAAAATATAATGTTATAAATTTACAAATCTAATGAAAATTCGCATGTTTTCGATGCGCACACTCGTAAAACGAATTTTTAAAATGTCACTTACCAATGAACTAAATTGTCTTCGCAGGGTATTGAAAACTTTGTTTCATTTTCACAGGGTTTAGCTTTATAATTTTTTCTCTGAAATTTTTCTATGCGTTTCTATTACAATAAAAATATTAAATAATATAGTAATTAAGATTTTTTTATTAGTTAAATACATTTAAAACTTTATCACTACGTATGATTTTTTCATTATTTTGTTTTTTGTGCTCGTTCAACTTTTTACGATCTTTTTTCATTTTCATAGACATCGTTTGTTTAGATTTATCTGATGGAGAATATTCATTTATTATATTTCCTTGAAAAATAACCTTGCCATTTTTTTGAAAATCTATTTTGGGAGTAAATTTGATTTATGTATGTACATTTTACTGTATTTATAAAGAGGATTACATTTTGATAAAAGATCTGCATTATTAGGCGAGTCACTTTTGTCAACTGTAAACAATTTTCTCAAACTTTTATAATTTTCCATGGCACTTATAATTAACTTAGAAATTTCAAACGGTCTATTTTAATTTTAAAATCGCATCGAAGCAAAAAGATACGTTTTTCTGAGTATTTATTAAGTTGCTATAGTAATTGGACAATTAAAATTATTTTAAAGACGTTCTACTGTTAAATTTTTATATACAAAAATTATAGTGTACATTTTTTACAAATATTATTATTTTATCTTTATATAGCTATATCATAGATTAAACATTGAACAAATATATATTTAAGAAGTGGCCTACTTCATATATTTTATAATTTAACGACGATGTTTTCATTTGATATCCATTGAAACACATAAAAATGAATTTGTAGGTAACAATGGATAATAAATAGTGAGCTACTGGAGTATAATAAGATAAATGAACCATAAACAAAGAACACAAAATATATTATGAATGTTGGGATCCTAGGGTTAGACAATAGCACAGCATTCCAAGTACAGAATCAATATAAAACAACACAAACTGTAATTATTAGATTATTAGAATTACATGGTTTCATTATGTTATTGCGATCTTTTGAGAGTGTAATAAGATAAAAAAATTATTCAATTATATTTGAATATTCTCATTTTTTAATTTTTTTCTCACGCGATGTATTACTACTGTCATATCTTATGTAAATGAAATCTTTCTACCTCAAATACAGAATACAATGTTTAGGACATAATATTATCGGTATCTTTATACTATGGAGTTTATAGTCATTAAAAGTAATATATAATTATATATATTATAAAATAATAAAGCATGAACTTGTTTTCATGCTAAAATTTGAGTTCACTACTATAAAATATCCAGAGAAAGTAAAACTAATTAAACTTTTTTAATTTTATATCACAATTAATTTCGCCAATAATTCTAATTAATAACTAAAAAAAATATTTTTCAACTATCTTTGTTTTTTCAATTTAGACACGATTTGTGCGGCACAGATTACTTTTACTTATTTTTTCCTTCAGGTTTGCATTGTATCTTAGTAGACATTCAGGAGGCGGTGATCTAACACCCGTGAAAAACACACGCCAATGTGTCTGCAAGGATATTTTGCAATCACTCATAAGCGCATACATAATAATAATAATAACGTGTACCTCAACCGCTTTTAGTCCCTTTTTCAACAACAGACATTCGGTCGATTTGTTCCATACCACCCACATACGGCACCGCCAAAACGCCCCCATAAGTCAATGTTATGGGTTTTAACGGCGACGGCAGCTTCAAAAATAAATGTACCGCAATTATTTTACTGCGTGCGAGTTAAAAAAAAAATGTCTCAGCTAAACGATTTACGTGATACGTGAAACGACATGACGTAAATTATAACATTAAAACAAAAATGATCATAATATTTTCAATAATTGAAAACATTCCAATTATTATAAAGTTCACATAAGAACAACATTTCTGAGAAATAATTGTATTATAATCATTTTAGTTACATTTTAAATGCAAATATTTATTGTCTTAAAATTACTGAGGTGTTTATAGAATTTATACGTCACTATTAAAATACAGTACTATAAATTTGCATTAGCTTATAGGGAGAAATTGTTTTCTAAGCTGTTGAAAATGTTCCATGCGATAGCTGCTCAACTGTGAGTATTAGTTCTGATTAAATATAACCATATATGATTAGTGCGAGTGCTTTATAATGATATTAGTGCTTTATTACATTTTTATTCGATTATTTTGTTAATTTACGCGTTGTCAACTATGTCGACACTATAAAAATGTTGTCAGCCCACCAGTAGGGGGTGGCTGCTTTGTACTCGTATACCACTGTCGTTTTCATTTTAAAGGTAATAATATTAGGTATAGCACATGCCCATCTATCGTCACGTTACATGCGTATTTATACAGTACTCATAAAAAAATCGAGTTAATCCGAATACCGTGTCTGAACTTCCACCATCTTGAAATCCCGCGATAATAACGTTCCATCAGCACTAGGTGAGGTGCGCCCATAAACTTACTGCGAACCCGGAAGAGCGTGGGAATGACCGTCTTCTGGTTAATGTTCCCTACTGTTAACGATTTGTGCTGAGGTCCAAACGGTCGGGTAAAATAGATTTGTTATTGACGACACCCTCACGGTGAAAGGATTTAAAGGGGAAAAAAAGGCCGTAAATATCCGTTCACCACTGTCCGCTGCAATCTTCGCGTACAGTTATACTGTTATTGTTGTCTACTGCCGTATATTTACGACCGTACGTCACGCCACGATCTTCTATTTTGTCCTCGTGCAACCCTTTGCCTGCACACGTGTAATCTTAAAACTGTTTTGAAAACGTCTCTTATTTTTTTACTTATCATATTGTTGTCGTTCCTCGGCGTTACGGTTTTCGTGGATTATTCAAGGACACCACTCTCGTTTTTCACCCTATTATATGGGTCATTCGTGATAGCACCTGAACCGATCGCTTACCGTAATTAAATTTCCTGACCGTTGCCCATAAAAATTTGTCAGGCCTCCCGCGGCAGAGCGCCACACGAGCGGCCGAATTTGTTTTTTTTTGTTAAGGTACGCGTCCTGTCATGCCATTTACGCACACTGCGTAGAAAACCGATTTTGAATGCTTACTCTTTTTTATTTATTTATTCGTTTACCGTATTGGACCACTGTGCGCTGCACACGTCATTCGTATTCACGGTCCTTAAGTCATCGAAAGGATTATACGATTCGATCGGCCGATGAATATCATAAAACCATTTCAAAGAAGACTACACATATTATGTTCTGCGTATTTAAGCAGTTAACCTATTTTTTTTCACCGTTTGTTTTGCTCGACACTGAAAATATAATAAAGATTACTCTGTTAAATAATCAACCTGTGTTTATTTTCATTTTACCTTATGATGAAATTTTATATTAACAATTTAATTGGTGACGGATAATAAAAAAAGATAACGTTATGTTAAATTGAAAATTTATGTACTAGAATACTTGCCGCTAGATAAGATAAGTACTAGTACATAGAGCGAAGAACAAAAATTGTTCATTGTCCTGAAATATACAGTTGATTTATACGACTAACAAAAACGCAAATAATAATTTTTTGTTTAATTTTTTACACATAAAAAAAACAGCAGACGAACTGTAGCATATGTGTGCTATGCGTAAATGATGTTGCGGTTTAATTAGACATGGTCGGGAACTGTATGTCAGGAAGCGGAAACTCTTTTTTTGATTGGACATGGTGGCCGGAAACTCCTTGGGACGTGAAAAACATCACGCACAAGCAACGCCCTCCGTATACTGAATTCGTGTACATAAATCGTATAAATATCCAAAATAACTTCACTATTTTTCAAAAATAAAATGTCAACTCGATAAATAACCTCCCGAAAAATAACGATTATCGAAAATATTAGTTGCAAAAATCACACAAAATATCACAATGCTTAAGCATAATTTTTTTTTTAACTTGACTAATATCACGTCCAATTAATACCTTATAAATGTTTTAAAATTAGAATGATAATTCATGTAACACTTTTGTTTATAAAACAAGGCTATTATATTGAATGCGATATTCAATAAAAACTCTGAATTATTAGTCAAGGTAAATTAATCTACTTAAATAGGAACAGTAGACAAATAACCAACGAACAAATGAAAGGACAATTACCGTATTTTAAGTACACAAAACTACAATCAAACCTTATTAAATAAGATTAATAAACTGTTAAACTCTTTATGTTATCAGAATAAAATTTTGTGTAGCAAAATTCAGCCAGCAAGAAAATAACAAAAACCCCTTATAATAGTGTCATTTGTTTCAAATTTCATTAAAGCGGATGAAAATCTTAACCAGCCTTTCAATCTGTTCGATTTATTAGTGATTATTTTTACAAGACATGTACACAACAGTCTTCACATAATATATTTTGATAGAGGTATTTTTTCTTTTAACAATTTCAATTGTAAAATAATAACATTTTTTAAAAACTGATACTTGTTTTAAAAAAATAATTTTTATAATTATAAAGAAAATACATAAATTAAACAAATGAAATTTATTAATTTGTACATAAATCGAATAAAAAAATGTTTGATTTGCAATAAATTAAAATGTTTTCAACGCCTTTAATTTTTGACGTACAATTAATTTGTTATGTAAAACCTAAACTATGTCGTGTGATATGAAATCTGCGAAAGCGTTTTGAATAAAATGGATTTTACAAGCGAATTTATTATATTCAACTATACAAAGATTATTTGACTTAATTCACAGGAAATGCGGTAACTATAAAAACTACACAAAAACCCTGAATGAAATCTCTCCAACTCCAAAACAATAAAGGCATCGTATTGTAAACAGATAATGTGCGCAAAATAAGCCTATTAACTACCAAGAGGGGATATTTTATGTCAAAGTTAACGGTTCGCCGGACGTACTTAGATTTTTCTCTATAGTGTACGCCGAATCGAATCGGAAAGTACCAGATTTTGCAATGAAAATAAACGTTGAACAGCCCTTGGATTCGTTTCAAAAACAAAATAAAATAGTTAAAATATTTAACCAATCAATTGACCATAAATTTATAATAAGAACCAAAAAATGCATCAGTTATATATTTATTGCGTCACCGAGTTTCCGAAATTAGGTCGGACTATACAATTTAATGATATTACAAAAATTATTTTAAATATTTAAAGTTTAAAAAGCATATTTCCATGTATTCAATAGTCTTTTCTTGACTGAAATAAACGAATATAATAAACACAAGGGTGGGGTAAAATTTAGTACCTCCAAACTTTTAGCTTTAATACTAAGGAACACAAATGAATAAAAGTGAAACACACTAACAAAGAATTATATAACGTTTAATTAAATACGTATAATAGTATGTAATACCGTACAGTTATTTTTTAAAATAACTACCTACTATGTTTATAAATATCTGCCAAAGTGTCAGATAAGTATCAGATGTTTGTCCAAGGAAATTTTTTAGTTTGGATCAGTAAACCACTGTTTAATAACAAGTTAAATTTTTTCATAAGAATCATATTTTATACCCTTAATACATTTTTCATCTTCATACCTTCCAATTCATCAGTGTTAATTTAGCATCGATGGTGCTGATTTGGAGATTTTAAAATGAATGTGCAAGAACTTGAGATATGGCTGTAATGAGCTTTGACACTGTAAAACAGAACATTTGATTAACATTTGTATGGACCAGTTTTAAATTCTTATATAGCATATATTTAATTGAATTGATTATATTGGGACATTTAAATAATACGAATCTATTCTTTTGAACTCAATAACGGATTTCAGCTAAAAATATTTACATGACTAGACGCCAGTAATGATGTTTTAAAAGCTCATTTCTATCAAAAAATAATTTCCCTTCAAATAACATTAAAAAACACCAGAGATTCAAAATAGTGCTTATAAAATACACGTCAGATTTAAAGAACGATTGCAATTTAAATAAATATTGAATTAATTTTATTTAGTATCTAATTTCTAAAATAATTAAATTCTCGAAAAATAAATAAAGAATATCATTGTAATTTATTTAAAAACTGAATTATAAAATAATTAACAATATATTATAGAGAATACACGCATATTCATAACAATTCACTATACTTAATTGTTAAATCTACTAACCGAGCATAGGTTTAATATTTTATAATATTTCAGATAACATTATTTTTTTAAGTAATTACTTAAATTAAAATGTCAAAAAAATATATATTGCTGACACGTAAACTATTTTTAGAAATACATTTTTGAAAATTGTCTTATACACGTCAAAAATCAAACTAAATTTGGAAAATGTAAACAATATTAATTTAGTTCTTATGATATGAATAATGTCTAAAGAGTTTTCTCTCAGTAGCCTTTTTCCAATAAATTTTTTGGTGCGGGGCGACAGCAAATAATTTTGTATTACTGTCTAAAACTAATATCGTCATTGATATTTTCAAATTGCTTTAAAAATAAACAGGAAGTTAAATATTTTTTTTGGAGAATACTTAAATGAAACAATATAATCTCCTTTTTATCACAAACAAATAAGTCATATTGATTTTGAGAGGACCTTCTCCGTTTTACGAGAGCATCTGAATGATATTTATTTTATGTAAATTGTTAGTTAATATTTTCAAATACTGAAAGGAAAAACATGGAGAACACCTTTACCTATTAACGAAGTAGGATATTTTAACGTGTTTAATGTTACAAAATTAGTGAACTTGAGAAGGAGAGATAATGTGTAATAATAAATACACATGATGGGGATTCTGATGTGTATACTGAGGGCTCTAGTGGAACCATGGCCGTGTGCGGGGGGGCATGGGAATGGCCGGTCGAGTCGCAGCAAACAACAATGGGGTCCGGTGGTCTGTGAATAGACCTTAGCGGTCGTCTTATTATATTAGCCAATGCCAATGGCCCGTATACACATAAACATATTATTATAAACCGACTGACGATAGATAAAAACTGACAAAAAAATTCTTGTGTTATTTTTTATTGTTGTTATGGCATACAATATGTTTCACTCTTGCCTACACAACCGAAAAACGATAAACCATATGCATCTAGCGTCACTCCACATAAATGACGATACTTAATAATAGTAAATTCATTCAAACAGAATTGTAGCACAGTCGCACCGTGTCGCCACTCGTCTTTACAACATGTATACGATACGTTATTAATTATAATTCGTTAAGCGTCTCCGATGAGTGTCCTATCCATTCAACCTCATCTAAAGTGTTACACTCTGCAACACATTTACACTCACTGGATCCGTACATACTGTCTAGACTTAACAATAATCTAATTATAGTTAATATAAAAAGTACAATGTATTCATAAATAACCTGACGCTTAGCCCACGCACAAAAGTTGAATCCAAGTATAAACTATGTTACTTTTTTTCATCATTAATGATAAATAATAATTAAAAAATGTGAGGAAATTAAATTTTCTTATTCGTAAACATTTGGGAATTCATTCACCTCAACGACCTTTTTATTTTGCACATCGAAAATACTTTTTCCTATTTTTTTTTTAATTTTAATGAGTAGAATAAAAAGGTCTTCAGTTTTATAACTCATATTGCAGGATAGCTGACTAATTTTTTCTCCAGTGCTGACCGGGTACGTGCACTTAAAGCTCTCCTAGATGCGGTTCTGTTTGTAAATCAATAAATGACTCCATTATTATTAGTTATGTTTTATCTTATTGGTAACGTAATAAATATTTTTGTAGCTAATTTATTTACATTAAGCTTAATTTAAGATTTAGATGAATGTAGTTTTTGTTTTTACCATAACTTATTTGTGTAGTTGAAAATCTTTCGAATTTTATGCAAGCGTTATGTTTTAGTAATGTAAACTCAACTTGATGATTATTTTGGATATTTTTTTCGTTATCATTATGTTATCACAATAATTAAAGCATAAAATTGTAAAATACGACATGTATTTTAAGGTTAATGTATGTTTGAAATTAAAATGGTAGTTGGAAAATATTTTTATAATACAATAATTTTTAAAAATATTTTAAGCGAATATATAAGGATTAGATCACATTTCCTTCGAAGTAAATTTATTTAAAATTTTGAATACCTGTGTATTTAAAAAATATAGCAAAATAGCCTCTGCTCAGTCATAAATTATTTAGTTGATTTTTAACACGAGTAGTTTTAGCAATATGTTTACATATATACAAAACAAAAATAATTTGTTAAAAATGTATTAATAAAGAATTTATTGGTGGACAATTTTTTTCTAGAAGATAAGATTATATTTTGTATTTTTGATTCTATTTTAAATATCGAGATATTTTTGATACAATATTATTACAACACAATATTAAAATTACGTTATTTTTAATTTCAATTTGTTTTTTATTAACAATAAAAATAACGTAAAACTTAATATCTGCATTTTTCCTTAACGTTGATTTTATTTTTTTGTGTAGAAAAAAAATGATGTAAAAAATATCAAAAATGAATAACGCTGACTAATATTTTTTAGCTTTATAAGAACCCGCCACTTTCTCACGGATGGCAGAATACTTTGATTTTCTCATTAGGCTATTACATTGTCATGTTTTTAATACCATTATTACCACTACTGTATACCTACCAGCCATTGTATTGAACTCGATTTATAGAGAGAGTATTATGCATCTTCTATATTCCTCTACTACACACCCAGTCATCTTGTTCGCATTCAATAAAACCAATCTATTGTGTTACTAGATCAGTTTAGTCGCCTATTTAAATCCATGTCTCTTCTTATACGTGTGATGATTATTATTATTTGAATGGCTGAGAAAGTCTCTAAGTCATAAAAAATTTTAATAACCCGACTTTTTTTTTTTAATTATATCAAAATTATTGAATATATAAGAAGCGAATTTCAATTTTATATATATTTTTGAGTAATTAGAACGAATTTTCAATTCACATTATAACTCTACTAGTTAGTGTTATTGTTATAATTTGGATACTAATGCAAATAAAATAAAAATTATTGTTTTAATATTATTGTAATAATATTAAATTTATTTATGAAAATTATTCATAATAATATAATTATATATAAGAGCAATTGTAATATTCAATAATTTCATAAAGATTCACTAATCTAACCTTGCTATTATATTTTATAATTTTACATAGGAACTAATACAAAATAAAAAAGAAATAACTTTTAACGTAATACAAAATTTATTGTAGAAAAACTGTATAAAATGTTAAAGTTCTGATCCTATTATTAAATTTTAAACCAATTTTATCATAAGAATTGATATCTAACTCAACATTGTGATTTTGGTAATGTATGTCGTTTTAACTTATCGCTCTATAATTATCATAAAATAGGCAGTTGTTTTTTTGTTTTTAAAACTATGTTAGGCTACAATTATACTTTTGATACCTACACAAGGTTGTTTTCATACCACCGAATTTGTTTAACAATAATCTGTTTTAATAGGCCATAAATTATCATCAGTATTTATTCTTGCTTTCATAAATGACTCATGTAATAGCAATAATTGTCATTGAAAACTTGTTTATTTGATAACATGAAAAAAACAAGACTACTGTTTGCAAAACAGAAAAATATCAATAGAAAATTATTCAAAAATAAACAAACATTATCAAGTACTAAGACAAGAACGATTCAAATAAAAAATATTAAAAAAAAAAAATTGTTTGAAATTTTATTTTCTATTATATCATTAAACTAAAAATAGTGGTTCCTATTAAAGTAAATTGGAGTTTAGGTTTTCAATCCAGAAGGGATGAAAAAAAAAATATTTGACTACATATTATTGCATAGTTTTCTGAATCAAATATTTTTTTCCTATACAAAAATTAAAAACTTTCAATAGTCTCCAAGCAGAAAGTGAATGTCCTTATCCTTAATCGATGACGTTGTATACCACCTATTAATAAATTATAATTTACAACTTTATTAAAACATAATTACATATGCCACTGTGTTTTAATTGATTTTTTTTATACAACTTAAAACTGGATAATTTACGTAAAAATAAAATAAATTTTGTTTAAAAAAAAAATCATATTTTTAAACAAACACTGAGCATTAAATAATGGACACGAAGATTCACGTGGGTCTGACGTAGCGTGAAAAAACAAATTGCTATTTGTCCTCAAGCCGAAACAAACAACTGCAAATTATATATGATTGCACTATGCGAGACACCAATTAACTAAAACCACAATATTATCTTACAGCTTTAAATTAGCCGAAAATAATTACCAATAAAAAAGTGTACTCCAGACCACCCTGCAGGACTAATTAAAGTCGTGGCCAATTATACAGTGTGTAAATGACACGCCGGTGACTACGCTGAGTTCAACGAGCATATGCTGCCTGACAGCTCAGTGCGGTGATTTTTAATATATTCGCTTGACGGTTTAAAACATCTATGAATGGAAGATATACGCCGTGACTTGCTCTATTTCGATGCCGTGAAGTTTTCATTACTTTTATGAAAAATAAAAGGAAAAAATTAGTGCAATTTATCTATTTATGTAAAGTTGTGTTTTTTTTTGTTAGGCTTACTCGTGCCCGGAAAACGCTAATTTATTTGTTCAATTTTTATAAAAATTCTATTCAATACCAGAAATTGCAACTCCGGAAAATTATTTTGTACATTAGTTATGGTTTTGAATGTCATTCTAGCAAAAGAGAGAATATCTGATAATATAAAACGTTTAGTTCATTAGTAAAGTTAATACCTATTTCCTCACTACAATAAAATCATTTTATTTTTGTAGTATAAAATAGATAAGATTAATTACACTTTTACCATATAAATCGAAGTAATATTAAAATTACAATCATTAAAATAAGCAAAGTTGTAAATAACGAATTTGAACCGCGAAATTTTATACAACACTAGATTCGGTATGAGTACTTGAAAATTATACATCCAAAGTAATTATTATTTAATGAGATATATACTTTACTCAAGGTACTATTGATGTGACAGATGTCATAATTTTTTTCAAGTGTTGTTTTCTGGTACAAAACAAACTTATATTAATGTGGGCCCAAGCATCTTTTACCTTGTAGTAGCAAAAAACGTAGTAACCGTTTTTACTTTTTCTGTAAAAGTGTTTTGTTCATACTTTTTTGAACACGAAAAGAAGGTAAAATAAAACTGTTAAAAAACTTGAGAAGCAAATAACAAAATGTAATGAACCATAGATATTATAACACCTTTAGTAAAATGCCGACTGTTTCCTCTTATAGATTGATTCTTGCTTATGTTTCATTTTACCTACACTATTATTGAAGTTTATACATCCCGTACGTACCACGTCAGCTCTATTGAGTGAACATGCTACGTCCATTAATAACAAAAGACAACAGGTATCAGGTAGCTGCTCTCTTTTGAAATTTTACCCAGCTATCATTAATTAAAAACACAAAAATGTGTTACACATGCCGCCAAGGAAAATGTTATGAGAAAGGTCTAAATTTGATCAAGGGAACAAAAGAAAAAATATGTCTTATCAACTCCTACTGTGTTCGGCAAACAATAAAAACTTAATAAAAATATACATAGGTGTATTTTTTTAAGGAAAGATTACTACGTAAATTTCACCATGCTTTACTACTCCTTGCACAGTTATAATTATTAAATAAATCTAAGGTGAAGTTTTTGATAATGTACACACGTAAATGAATAAATTATAGAATTAAAAACAATTTATAAGCTGAGTTAATACCAGTTTTTAAAAAATTATCAGAATAATTCATTAAAAATTTACCCACGAAATAAAAATTATTTTTACAAAATTTTTAAAATGTTATTTCCACATGGTTCTCCATATACACAAATTTAAATATTCAAATAATTTGTTTAAGTATTTAATGATCTGTATTGCCAAAAACAGTAATTTATGAAGTAATAATAAGTAAAATTGAAAACGATTTCATAGTAACTCATACATTTTGTGCTCTAATTCGTGATGGTAACAATAATTAAAAGTTATAATAAAAAAATATATAATATTGATTGATGATTGACATATTTTATGATACATTCATGATGAAGACGATAATATAAGAATGTTTTTGATTAATCTGTGTTTTATATTTGTCTCCATTTTAATTATTTATGAATTTTTTTTTTATTGAATCAAATAAAATATTTATAAATATTATATTTTATAAAGCTAATAAATAATCACCTATATCATGATGCATTTTATTGATAAAAGTGATAATTCATTGAAATGACATCAATGAATTTAAAACGTGTTAGCGAGATCACACTAAAAATTATTTTTAAATTTACTAATGTCTACTCTAGCCTTTAAGTTAATAAAAAAACTTGGTTAATTAAATACTTTTAAATTTCGATAGGTATGATTACAAAAATATTCAAATTTATGTTTTATTTTAAATTTAAATTAATATTAAGACCAAATTTAATTATTTTTATTATTTACATCTAACGCAAGTATTTAGCTTGCTTTGTAAGTATTTTGTTTGATATATATTAAATTAAATCTGCTGATGAATATGTATACTTATCAACATCTTGTTTTACTCACAAATTGTATATTAGTATTGATAAAACGTCTATAGAAACACCTTTTACCAAAATTGCTTTTTTTTTTAACACTTTATAAGCCCACTAAGGGTCATAGCGGCCTCCCTCAAAAGAGGAGGTTTCTAAACCATTGATACTCCAGGACGGGAGGTTAGTCCGTCGCCGGGAGAAGGTGTCCGTCAAGCACTGCCGCGTTACCGACTCGGCCACACCGTCCCAAAATTGTTTACTCAAGATGTTAGCATGTATTATGAGTATACAGAATGATTTTTTGATCTCATTATTTGTACACAACGTTTCAATGAGAAACAGTAATTGATTGAATTTGCATGGATCATCTGATGAACAGCCGCCGGTACAAATCCGAATTATTCTGCTTTATAGTTGAGACGTACCGATTTTCAAAGCGTATAATTTTCTTTTTACTCTCAAACCGCTATCTGTGAATCGTTTTAAAAACCATAACAAGCTGGATGCTTTTTTTGTTATAAGAAACGTGCAACACAATATATTCTAAACGCTTAAGTAACATTGGTTGTTCTTTAGGTAATTTGCATGGCTCCTATAATGAAACAATTATAATCATCATTAGTTATTTAAAAAGGTAAGTTCAACGTCAAACATTTGTAATGTGTGCAGCACATACTGAATCGAATTCACATAAACCGTTAGTGTTTTGGTATTTATTTTTAATAATTTGTTGAATAATAAAATAATAGAATTTAAAATATAACTCAAGCGCTAATTGAAAACAGATACTTTGAAAATTATTACGATAATAATTTTATAACATTCAAATTAAAAAATAATAATTACTATGAGCAAGACGATCTTATTGTTAACTTAAATCTTTAAAACAAAATTTTAAAGGTCTTCAATAAAACCTGAATAAACTAATTCAATAAATTAGACATAATTAAATTCGATAATTAATTCTAACCGACCAAAAAATCTCAGATATTCTTGTGTTAGCCTTACATTTCTTTGACAGTAATTAGATTATAAGTAAAATTTTGTTAAAAAATACAATGTTTTATAGTATCATAAAAATTCCACAATTTTATCCAAAACAATTACAATTCGACCCATTCATACAGTTATTTTTAAGGATTTTTCCATTAGAAATAAATATTAAGATAATATTCTTATTTTAATCTTAATATCTTCAACTATGAAGATAAATTGTGTTGCATCACTTGAATAATAAAATTTAAAACGCTTATGTTCACATTTAAATTTTCTAAAGCATTCAAAATTCCGTTATGGAAAGATATTTATCTATTTTTGAATTTAAATTCAATTTAGTAAGTTTGAAATGTTGTTTATTTTGCATTATTTTATATTTCAATAGTTCGATAAAATTTTCTTTCTTGTAAAAAAAAAAAAAATGTCAGTGTAGTATACAAAACACAATTAATCAAATTTACAAATAAGTTTATTTGTTATATTTTTGCCAAATAATAGGTCATATTAACTACACAAATAAATATTTTCGAAATACCGAAATTATTTCTGCATTTATAAATCATATAAATATTATAAATCAGATTTATAATATTTAAATTTTATAAGATTTATTAAATCTTAAAGAAACCTTTGTCACAAAAATATTTGTGAGAATGGTAAGTATTTTAATTTTAACACTATTTTCAATCTTAAATTCATGTTTAGATAATTTTTTAGAATCCACATTTTATCAAATTTGTGACTTTGTATTTTATTCTATCAAAAGGTAATGTTTAAATAAATTTGTAGCTTATAATTTTAAAACCTATAATATTATTTATATAAAAAAAATCATTGTTCCTATGTTTTAGAAAAAAAATTAACTTGTTAATGAACGTTACTAATAATTTAGTATCATAAAATAAATTAATATAATTTAAGTGGTATTAGTAATGAGTAAAATTTTAACTCAAATATTATCTTGTTTAATTGTCAAAAAAAAAAGAAGCGTATATGAAAATTAGATCAATCATTATCTATCTAAATTCGATATTTTAAACTAAGTAAAATTTTATATTCATTTCAAATATTAAATAACAGCGTATATTATCTAATTAACCCATTATCCCTATACAGAGTGATTTTTTTATCATTACCTACTCAATTATTTACAAAATAAAATAATCTAAATTTTTGGATACTTTTAAATACATATTATTTTTGATTTGTTAGCTATGTAAAACTTTTTAAGTTCATACCTTATGCTTTGTAAAGGTGTCAACTTTGTTTTTTCAAAAGGAATACATTTTTTGAATTTAATAGAATTTTCGAGGTTTTACTTTAACAATTAATGGCATTTGAATTTTTCATATAACTTTATTCATTTATTAGATATAAAATTTTAAAGTTTCAAATTTTTGAGATAATATACATATATAAAATATGAGAGGGAATATAAATATAGGTAGTTAATAGTTTTTTTATGATGTTCCTGTTCACAGCATTTATTGTTAATTATAAATTTATCAACAAATATGCTTGAAATGTGCTTATAAGACACATAGATATAAGTTAAAATTTATAAATACATCTACTGGAAATGCAGAAAACAAATCTGTTGATAGTAATTTAGTGGATTATATTTAAAAAATCATACAACATTAATTATTACAGCGAAAAAAAGCTATTGTGAGTCTTAATAGCTTTGATAATAAGTTCATAAAATAAAAACGGTAGCACAGTAAGGTCACGACACAGTGGGATAGTTAAGGCAAGTATAGATGTTATCTGATATTGGTAAAATCACTCTTATAAGAAACGCTTCGATGCAAATCTGTAAATAGCGTTTACAAAAGCAACAACAACTCCTACTTCCTTAATTATAACCTGATTAGTAGTTTTTAGATTTAAAAGTATAATAATTATACTTTTAAATCTAAAAACTACTCTATAAAACTCTATAAATTATTTATAAATAAATATTCTTTATAGAATTAAATATGAGCAAAATTAAAACTATATTAAAAATATTATTAATATTTTTAATATTTTTTAGTTTTTAAATTAATAATATTTTTAATATAGTTTTAATTTTACTTAAGTAATTTGACATTAGTGATCAATTGTTATTATAGAAATAAATATAGTATGAAATTAATTTTTAAGAATTTAATATTGTAATTTATACGAAAAAAAAAACAATAAAGTAGTATATTCGTCACTTCTAAAACAAACATCTATAAAAATTAAAGGGTTTGATTCAATACTTTAAAAAAAATTTTTGTTTTTACTTGAGAATAAATATATTGGTCTACAAGGAACTTTCATCAAAATCAAATATACTTTTCTAAATAAACTTTGCGCACTGTTTTCAAATCTGAAATCATACTTTTTCTATCACATCTAACTTTTGATATCATTACTAATTATTAAAAAATGTGTATTTACATATAAAAAAATGTTAAATCAAGAAGTATAACAAAAAATAGCATATTTTTTAATACGATAGCCCATCTTCACCATGAAGACAAAATAAAGTTCGAAATTACTTTTCCATATTAATATGGCATAAGCTTTAATTTAAAATATATATAAAAATATCAGTATTTCTGGAACACTTTCAAAAGTTAAGTTGAAAAAGTTAATTTTTGTGAGAAAGTTGTCATATTGAATACCCCCTGTGAGTAGGTGAAGGATCAGATTAAAAAAAATATATCTGTCCAAAAACGTTCTCAACTTTTATTTTAATTATGACTAATGATTAGATTAAATATATATATATATATATATAAACCAAATGATTGATAAATGCCAAATATATCTATTAAAAAAAAAAAATTCTATTGATCCATACATTTTTCAAAACTTTATGGTAGTTATCAGTAAAAAAAATGAAAAAAATGTCGAAAATTACCGATTATATAAGTTTGTAATTTTTTTGGAGATTTCCTCCATTCACGAGAAATAAGTGAAATTTTTTCAATTTTTAAGAATAATGACTTTGACTAGATACGATTTGTGACTTATTGACATATCGTTAAAAGAAATCGATTTGGTGAGAGCTGAGAATAAGTGATAATAGTCACAAAAATAAAACCCTTCATAGTCAAATTAATACCATCTCAGCTTTGCAATGAAGCTAAAAAATTTTCAGATTTTAGCACTTAGAAATCTACAGAAAAATCAGTCAAATAACACTATTCCATATAAATTAAACTACGATTATTTACTACGACACTAATGGTATTAATAAGAAATAAATTAACTGTTGTTTTTTAGCATTAAGTTCATCAATTATCAGTGAGTATTATTAATAATATAAAATAAATAAAATCAACCTTGACTTTAATTATCTATAAATGTTTATTTATAGTATTATATCTGATTATGAGATCTTACCTTTTAATTTTTAATTCCTTTTATTAATTATATATTAGTATCAACAATACGACAAAATTTAGTTAATTCTATGATATATGAATTATGTATTTAGATACATATTATGTTCAGTAATAATTTCTACTATACATACAATTATGTTACTAATAATATGATTTTATTATATTTATACAGCATCAGAGGAAAATAATGATGGTATGTTAAAAAAAAAAGCCAAATACAATAAAGTAATAAAAACATCGTATTTTAAGTACTTAAATAATATTAACATTTTTATTCTAGAATTGAATAATATTAAGGAAGGTAAATTTAATATTTTTTAATGAAAAAAATATTTTCGAAAACATGTTTATCTAGTGATTAAAATTTTTTTACGATTTTATTATAGAATTATTTAATTTAGATAGGATTATAAATTTAATGAATGAAATAAAATGATATTGAACGATATAAATTATTTTGAGATATAATTTTAATTAGACGTTTGATCAATATTTACCTATTTTACAACAAAATTAAATTGAAATATGTTTAATTTATATAATCTATGTGATTGATAAATAAATGTAGATCAATTTAACAATTAAATTTTTTTTAAATAATCGTTATTAGCCAATTTAAGTCATTAGTCGTTTGTTCATTATTTATATCCTGATTTATGATTTATAAATGTAAAATATGAATAAATATTTAATAAATTTGTTCAACTACGACGGCCATTTGTACATTGAACATAGGTCATGGGGATAATTTTTTTAAAAATATATAATGCGTAATATAGGCTTTAATTTAACATATGTTTAAACCATGCAGTATTTCCGGAACATTTGTAAAAATTAACATTTGTGAATAAGTTGTTATTTTTAATCCTCCCCTATGAGCAGGTATTGAAAAAATTTATATAAAATAAAAGCGTTATCTATAGGTAAAAGGGTACCTAAGGTTTCTATATTAAAAATTATTATTTTAATTCGTCAATTTTAAAAAAACCCCAGCACAGGGGGGTCGCGGCACAGTGGTGACGTCGCATAGTTGGATCAAGTATAATGATATCTGACAGTGATTAAAATCACTATAAAAAAAAAACGCTTCGATGCAAATCTTTAGATAGTGTTTTATTTTAAAAAATTGGTGGATTATTCCAAAAGCTTCATAAACTGCTAATTCCTTATTAATATCTTGATTAAGACAAAGTATGTCGAATAAAAAAGAGATTATTAGAAAATAGTATTTCCCATAAAAAAATTATATTGATCAATACACTTTTCAATAAGTTATAGCATTATAAAGTTAAAAATGTAAAATATAAAATCGAGAATTTTAACACAAAAATAGCATACTTTAGTCATATTCACTATGAAGACAAAATAAAGTCCGAAATTTTTTTTTTCCATGATAAAGTATATTACATTAGCTTTAATTTAAGATATATATAAAAGTGTCAGACTTTCCGGAACACTTTCAAAATTTAAGTTGAAAAAGTCAATTTTTTGTGAAAAAGTTGTCATTTTGAATCCCCCCCTGTAGGCAGGTAAAAAGTCAGATTTATAAAAAAAATATACCAAATGATAGGTAAAGACATCATGCATCTACAAAAAAAANATACGAATTTAAGAAACAAAAATTGGAAAATTTTTTAAAATTTATCGATTTTAGAAATTGTAATTTTCATCTCAGCTTAAAAATATTTTTTAAGGGAAATGTCTTTAACAAGATACGATTTGTGATCTTTTGGCGTATCGTTAAAAAAAATCGGTTTAGTAAGAGCTGAGAAAAAGTGGTGATAGAAAAAAAAATATCATAGTAAAATTAATACCTACTCAGATTTGCATCGAAGCTAAAAAATTTAAATGTATTTCACTCAAATTTTTCTAATAATAAATTCTACAGCTGCACACTTAATAGTTTTAGAAAATTTCGAAAACATTGTTACAAACATTTTTGAAAAAAATGAAAATTTAATAAACGTCGGAGACGATGAAACGACAGGCGCAGTTACACGTAGGACGTTAAAAAGCAGCTAGAGAGCATTTACCGTTGGCACTCGGTGATTGTTTGCAGTCCAGTAGATCGATTTTTTACCCTAGCTAAAAAAACACATTATAGTAAATTCAATTCCTTTTTATCATTGCAACAAAGCTAAACTTTTTTAAATGTTCAATTATCTTATATAATCATTTTAGAATAATTTTAGTGTCCGATAGTTAATTAATTACTCATATACATACTATTTATTTTAGCTTCGATGCGAAGCGGAGAAGGTATTAATTTTACTATGATGTGTTTTTTTTTTTTTTTTTTTTTTTTTTTTTTTTTCTGTTACCACTTTTTCTCAGCTCTCAC